TACATGATAAAAAGATACAACTGATACTATGACAGACCTTACAAATATGGGGCAAGCTCATTCACTGTTTTGTGGTTTAACACAGAGGCACCTGATTTCTCTGTAAGTTCTCTAAGCTTCTACTGTGCCATTCCTTCAGGACAAAATTCAAAAGCACAAAAACTGGAAGGTGTTTTCCTCATTCTATCACTCTGGGCCAAATAAGGATATTTGAACAGGGAAGGAATGTTACTTTTTACAAAGAGTGCTCATTCTGGCAGTTGGCTACCAACAAAAAGATATACAATTACTGCACTCCTAGTTACAAATTTCCTTTTGGAAAGGCATTTATAGCTTCATTCCTTAAAACTAATTTTGACCTAAACTTGTCATGCAAGTCTGTGGTCTGGGGAAAAAAAAAATTGCAACATTAGAACTAACACATTCGGGTATTTCTGCTTGTTTAGGGGTGACAATGACAAATAACAGAAAAATTCATGCAAAGCTGGAAATGCTTTTGCAATGCTCACCTTGATTGCACTTCCCTCAGATTTTGTGGCAGGCTATAACCCATTGTGCCCTTCCATTTCCCCTGTGTGTACTATCACTTAAGATCTTTGGAAGCAACTGACGTGTGCAGGAAATTGTGCAAAGCATTTGACACACAACATCCTTGTCTCTAAACTGGAGAGACATGGGTTTGATGGGTGGGCAACTCCATGGATAAGGAATTGGCTGGTTGCACTCACAGAGTTGTGGTCAAGCGCAGAGCAGTGACCAAAGGAGCTCCTCGTGTATCAGTATTGGCACCAGCGCTGTTCAACATCCTTGTTGGTGACAGGGACAATGGGACTGAGGCACTCTCAGGCTGTGTGGTGTGGTCCACATGCTGGAGGACAGGGATGCCATGCAGAGGACCTGGACAGGTTGACAGGTGGACCTGTGTGAGCCCTGTGAATTTCAAAAAGGCCAAGCACAAGGTGCTGCATGTGGGTCAGGGCAGTCCCAAGCACATGCAGGCTGCATACAGGCTGCATGGAGAATGGGTTGAGAGCAGCCCTGAGGAAAACAGCTTGAGGATGTTGTTTGATGAAACGCTTGACATGATCCAGCAATTTGTGCTCACAGCCCAGAGAGCCAAATGTGTCCTGGCTGCATCCCAAGGTCCAGGTCATGGGAGGCGATTCTGCCCTGCTACTCTGCTCTCACGGGACCCCTCCTGCAGTGCTGCATCCAGCTCTGGGGTCCCAGCACAGGAAGGATGTGGACCTGCTGGAGTGAGTGCAGAGGAGACCACAAAGATGGTCAGAGGGGCTGGAGCACCTCTCCTAAAAAGACAGGCTGAGAGGATTGGGATTGTTCAGCCTGCAGAAGGGAAGGCTCCAGGGAGACCTTAGAGCAGCCTTCTGGAACCTAAAGAGGGCTACAAGAAAGCTGGAGAGGGACTTTTGACATGAGCATGTCCAGATAGGGGGAAATGGGTTCAAACTGAAAGAAAATAGGTTTGGATTAGATATCAGGAAGAAATGTTTTTACTGTGAGCATGGCAAGGAACTGGCACAGGTTGCCCAGCGAAGCTGGGGATGTCCCATCCCTGCTCAGGGCCAGAGTGGATGGGCATTCAGCAAGCTGAACTAGCAGAAGGTATCTCTGCCCATGCCAAGGGGGTTGGAACTACACCTCTTTCTCTCCAATTCTGTTTATATGATCTTTGAGCTCTTTGAAATACGGTACCTAACACACTGTTACCTAGATATAAATAACAAAAACATTAAAAGTTTAAAGGTATGAATAATAAAAAGCAATACCTCCACTCAATCCCCTCCCATACTCAAGATTTTAGGAAAATAAGTCAGTGAAGGAAAATTGCTGCAGACTTTTCTGCAGAAAGATTAACTCTGTACCAAATCCAAAGGCACAGAAAGGAGATACTTTCTATTTCTTTCTTTTTTATTTTTTTTCCTGGTAGAACAGGGTGCAGAGCTTAAGTACATGATAATAAGATTCTACCACAACCTTCCCTCTGACCACTAACATCAGTGCATCTTTCAGCAAAGCCAGTCTACTGATGACTCATGTCTTGGTGCAAGAGCCTGTGCAGAGGGGGAGGACACAAACCACAAAACACGAATATCTTGATCTAGTTAGAACCCTCTGCAAGGAAGAGCTTTCAGAGGGAAGCAAGGAAGGTGACAGCCTAGCCTGACTCAGCTTAATCTGCTTCCACCAAGCACTGACCAGCTCATGATTCTTGTTCTTCCCATGGAACTCACACCCTCCCCTTTATTTTTATGGAGAGAAAGAGAGAGAGAGAAAAGCATGGCTTTCCCCTCATTTGTCCTTCTTTTGTATACACAAAAACAAGAGTTGACTCACGAGCTATAATGACAGATACTGCACTTTTATACATAAACCGATGCATGCCATGAGCAATGTCCTTGAGGCTCCTTGGCTGTAAGATAACTCTGCTGTAATCAATTTGTTAGTGCAAACAGCTCTCAGTCTCATTATTTACTGCTCTTCTAATGTCTGCCTTACTCTATGTGGAGTCTATTTCACTTAAGTGAGCTAAAAATGACAACTGCTTCTCACAGTGCATATCCCGTTTTGAGCATGGCTGGGGTAGGGGTAGTTTGGCAAGTTGTCTTTTTGACTGCGTGTGGCTAAGAAATTAAGTCACTTCCCAAAGTATTTGAGATCATAAAGATACCTTTTACATTAGACTGATGTAATTTGTCATTAACCCAAGTACCAGAATCACTTTATCAGAGCAGCCTAAAGGTTTGCTGAACTCTGTATACAATTATAGAGACTTAGAGAGACTTAGGACTATAGGGAGACAAAGTGATCCAGTCCTTCATGAGAAAACTTAACTCCTTAATAATAAACCTAATTGTTTTATATAGTGCTGCTGATGGAAATTTTTCCCAATTCAGCACCTAACACACAAAATCTGCATTAAGACTCTGCAATCTCATCTTTGCTTACTGCAATGCCAGGAGGCAGCATTTACATAATTGCCTGACCACCCTACTTTTTAGGCCAAGTTGTTTTACACAACAGCCAGCAGCAAAGTCATCCCTGGTTTTATCTCCTGCTGTCTTCCCCCTGCATTAAGATATCATTTTCTTGATCCCAAGAGCCTCAATCCTCTCCCATGACCTTGAGAAGGGGAAACTCTACAGCAGCTCCCAGGTGGGAGGTGGCAGGAGTGTCTAGCTGGTGTGACTCTCAGCAGGTTTTGCACGGCTGAGTTGGGATGCTCAGGGCTGCTGCCAGCCCAGCGCCTGGGCCCCGCATGGGAGCCACGTGCAGTTCAGCAACTGCAGCTTAGTCACAGACAGAGGCAAGGCAAACCCTTGAGTCACAGAATCCTCCTCCTCCCCCTGTCACCCCAAGTTTTACCTGTAAGGAAATGCTACTTTTGCTGCCCCATAGCAGAAGATTTCAGCTGCTCTTCCACCGTAACTTTTCTCCTGTGCTTTTTAGAATGCAAAGGGAATGAATTCCATAATCATGGCTGTGCTGCGCTAATGTAACACTATTTTTCTGACATTACTCATAGTCTAAATCAGCATCACATTGTCTCTTGTGCAACATTTAAACAGTATTGTCTAAACCCATACCAGGAGAAGTTCCTGGGAGATCAAAAGGCACACGGGTGAAACTGTGTGAGCTGCTTTTGTCTGAGGTTTCGCCTGTGGTTTCCAGCCGATGGAGCGCAGGGCCAGAAGGGAGACACATGGCAGAGCAGGTTCTCCCTCTCAGCCTTGTCTTCAGAACAGAACTTCAGCATCCAGCACAGGGCACTGCACCTTTCGCATTGCATTAGTTTGACTGCAGAAAGACTGGCAAGCTGACATGTTAGGAAACCAGGGTAATCCCTCGCCTTGTTCCTGACTTTTCTCCTGGCATCTTCCCAAGAGGGGAGGGGAAGAGAAGTTAAAAACATTACAAAAAGAACAAGCATCGCCAAAGTAAAAATCATCCAGCCTTACAAAGCTGTTCTTTACCCCAGAAGGGAAAATCCTTCCAAAATATATATTTTTAAACATAGATTTAGGCCGAGTGTTTTAATTTACACAAACATCTGCCAACTAGTACCATGTCTGGAGTGCTCATGCTTTACAACGTCCTAACAGTTGGGCTGAAAAATAAAGTGCTAAGGAATATCTGAATTCAAACAAAAATATCCTTAAAGTTGAGAGAAAAATTCTTCTATTTTTAGAAGAAGAAAAACTCCAAACCAACACCACCAAACAAGCCCTAAATTTGATGCCAGTAATACAAAGTGAAATCTCAGTATGTCTACAAACTTGGCATTTCAGTGCCTGAGAAGAAAACTTACATGATGTAAGGACTTACATATTTATCAAACATTTATTCTGTTATATATTGCATCACAACCAGCAAGTGCACTTTAGTATCTGAACTTAATGTTCGAACACAATATAGACACCCAATTCTGAGGTACTTTACCTCACAAAATGAAAAAAAAAAGTAGAGAGAAAAAAATCAATACAATCTGGATAACATAAAACCGATTAACTCCTGGTATCTAAGGAGGATTAGAGGAAAGAAATGCAGGAGACCTGGGAGGCAAGTCTGCCAGATCTATTCTGAGGGACAGAAAAGAGCTCCCCACAGTACATTAAGATACTTCCCGAAAAAAGCAAGAGTCATTCCTAGGCTTTGCTCCAACTTCCATGAATCGCTGCCTGCAGAGTAACCATGACTCGATCTTCTCAGATTTTGTTAAAGAGGCACTGACCTTCAAGCCAACACTCACACAGAGCAACTGCACTGTGCAGCTCAGAACAGCTTACTAAAATTCAGGCCATGTATGGTTAAGTTTAATATGGTGATTCAAACATTTTAGATATGCCAAGTTACCATCAGTGCCTAATTGCTTTGATGGAAAAAAAAACCAAAGCCACAAAAGCCCCTCTCTTGCACAAACAGATTTCGGTATCTAGTAAGGCAACACTGAATGTAACATAGAAGAAAAACAGAAGAATTCCAGATGTTAAAAATATCATTTAATTAAAGAAAGATAAATCATACCAAAAGTTTAGGTCACTCTTAGTTAATACATTTGCATTTATTTTAGAATATACTCTACATCTGAGTAAAAAAGTTTTAAATAAACTCCAGTACATGTACAACATGGGACCCGCCATCTCTCCCACAACAGAGGGATGTTCCTTAGCTCACTGGGTTCCCTCCGAGGTGACAGAAGCAATTTTGTGCCAGTTTCGTTATGTTCATCGGCTTGAGTGGAGCCTCCTTATCAGCCAGCAATGCCACCACCTCGTACCCACACGGGCTCAGCCTCCCTGCCGGGGCGGGCACAGCGACTGCTCGCCCCGGACCGTACAACGAAAAAAACACGGAGGGGGTCAAAATAATTAATAAACTAGTATTGATTAATTTACATTTCTTTCTCTCTCTTGTGCGTTGATAGAAAACCTGCTGCAGTCTCGGGAGCGCGCAGGGAAGCCCGGCCCGGGGCGCTGCCCTCGGCCACCGCGGCAGCGGCGGCGCCGGGCGGGGACGCGCCGCTCCCGCCGGGTCGGAGCCCCTTCCCCGCTCCCCCCGGCGCTCACTGCCCCCAGCTGCTGACGCCGATCTCCTGCTTGTATCTGTTGGTGAGGACGTTGGCCTTGCGGGTGAGCTTGGAGAGGACCGAGTGGAGTCCGCTGAGGTGGTAATGGAACTGCTGCTCCAGGTCCTCCTCCCCCTCGCCCTCCTCGGCGGGCCCGCCGCCCAGCTTGTCCTTCTTGCGGGCGGCCTCCTCGCCCGCCGGCGGCTGCACCACGCCCCACTCGATGTCGTTGCGGATGGACTTGAGCAGCATGTAGTGGCTGTACATGTCCCTGCGGGAGAAGTAGGCGCCGGGGTCGCCGGGCGGCAGGGCAGCATCCCGGGGCGGGCACACGGCGCCCGCCGCGTCCAGCTCCTCCAGCAGCAGCGGCACGTCGCGCAGCAGGCTCGGCACCATCACCGTCTGGTCCATGTTGTTGACGGCGCCGATGAAGCGGTTCATGGCGTTGAAGAGGGAGTACTTCTGGCTGTACGAGTCGCAGATCTGCATCATGCTGGCGGCCGGGCAGACGTGCTCAGCGACGCGGCTCGGACCGGACCGCGGGGCTCCTCCGGCGGCGACCTCTTCCTCCTCCTCCTCCTCCTCCGCGCTAGCGGCACCGGCCGCCCTGCGTCGCGGGCTGCGCTCGGCGGCTGCTCGCGATCAGAGTCCTGCTGGGAGGCGGTGGCGGAGGCGCCGGGGTTAGAGGCTGCTCTCCCTCTCTCTCCCTCCTCCCTCCCCCAGCCCGCCTTCCCGTCCCCTCCCGCCAGCGCCTTCTCCTCCTCCGCCGCCTTTATCCGCAGCCCCGTGTCCTTCCTCCAGCCTTCCCCTCCCCGTCCCTTCTCTCACCCTCCGCCTGCCCTGCTGCAGCCGCCGGGGCTCGCTGCCGCCGCTCCCCTCCGCACAAAACTAGCCAAAACGCAGAACTCCCCCCACACCTCCTCCCGGGAACCGGGTGTGGGGGTCGGCCGAGTGGATGGCGGCCCCGCACCGCCCCGGTAATTAAAATTCAAGCGGTCCCCAGCCGCCGTGCCGCGGGGAAGGCACCCACCGTAGCTCGAAGCTGCTCCCCGCCGCCCGTGGCCGCACTCCCATCCCCGGCGCCGTATTTATAGCGCGTATCTTACAACAAGGTGTTCCCCAGTGCCACCCCCCGCGCCGCCACGCCAGATAAAGGCGGCGGGCGGCGGCCACGCCGGCTCCGCCTCTCTCCCCCCACCGGGGGAGGGCGCCGGGAGCGCAGCCCGCACCGCGGGCATCCCGAGGGGGCCGGGCCGCGCGGGCTCGGCGCTGGCGGCAGAAACTGCGGAGCTGAGGCCGCAGGGGAGCCGTTCCGGTGCGGCGGCGACTCCCTCGCACCCCAACCCTGGCACAAGGCAGCGGCGGCCGCAGAACGCTCCCCGGTGCCGGCCCGGGCACGGGCGGCGGTGAGGGGCACCGTGACCGAGCGGCGCTGCGGGCCCGCTCTCACAGCGCCGGGCGGGGGAGCCGCGGGCGGGGCGGGGCGACTGACAGACTGGCGGGTGATTGACAGCCCGAGCCGCGGGACACGCGGGCCCCGCGTGCTGCCCGCGTTCTCCCGGCCCGCCCATTGGCTGCCGGGCGCGCGGCGAGCGTGACATCGACTCCGCCCCTCCGCGCGCCGCGTGCCCCAGCGCCAGTTGGAGCGGGCGGCCGGGCGGGGAGGGCGCGGGGTCTGTGGGCGCCCGGCCGGCCTCGCGTTGCCACCTCCCAGCAGCGCGCCAAGAGCCGCGGCCATCCCGCGTCGCCTCAGCCCGGGGGCGCGGGGGGAGCCCGGGCAGCCTCCGGGCAGCCTTTGGGCAGCCTTTGTCTGTGTCCCGGCGCTGGGCGGGGCGGCCGGCATCACCCCACAGCCTCACCTCCGGGCCCAGCCAATCGGCGCGCCGCCGTCCTCCTCCCGCCAATCAGCGAGCTCCGGTAGCAGCCAATCGGAAACAAGAGCGCCCCCCCCACGCCCCCGCCATGGTAACAGGCGGGTGGGCCGCGAGCCCCGCCGCGGGTCACGTGGGGCGGAGCGGCGCGGGCCGGGGGGGGGGGGCGGTTGCCATGGTAACGGCGGGAGCATCACCCGGGGCCGGGGCCTGCTCCTGCTCCTGCTCCTGCTCCTGCCGCGCCGCCGGGATCCGCGTACGAGCTGCCCGGCCTGAGGGGCCCGGCACGCTGCGGCTGCCCACCCTGCTCCCCACAGCCTCTGTGGTCCCGGTCCCAAGGCAGGAGACCGCTCCCCTGGGTGACAAACCCGGGACTGGACTGCGGGCAGGTCGTGCGCTGCAGATGCTTGCGGTTGAGCAGCAACCAGAGATACGGGCTGGTATAAAATTATGAGTTGTTCGCTGATAATTCACTATGGGGAAGAGAAGGAGTTATCTCACCGGGCCAGAAAATTGGCCACGACTTATATTTGCATCTTTATGTAGATGCAGTGTGTCGTTAATAGACCATTAACAGTTTTGCTGCCTTTAATTGAAATACAACCTGCACTGAATGTTCAATAAATTGGAAAAAGCAGTAAATCTTTGGAAATGAGGGGAATTGGTTTATTGTCCATCTTTCCAAATTAAAACAATTAAACACTTGAGCAAATTAAAACTGAAGTGTTTACCTGGGCTTACAACATACTGGCTGGGAGGAAGAAGAGTTGGCAGAAACAACCCAGCTTGGACCTGCAAAGGGGGGAAGTGAGTCTTCAGTGTGATGGTATTAAACGAATTAGGGCCTGAGCAGGAAATTTGTTTCCCAAGAGGTATAGCCACACATTCTGCTTTCAGCTGTAAATGTTTCCTTATTTTAGTAAGGCATGTGTCTTACCCGTTAGGCTGAGACAGATCATAGTCAAGCCAAACTTAACAGCATAAGGAAATTGGTTTTGGGGTTTTTTCCCTTATGTTCTGATCGATTTTGATATGTGACATAAATGTCCCTGGTACATATAATGTGCATCATGAACACAAGCCTGGGCAGGTTTGATTGCTCTTTGGTTCAAACAAAATAAAGGAGCACATATTCCTTACTCCAGTGGTATGTAATTGTCATGGCTGTGCACCTGAGAGGAAAAGAAATGGCACTTTTCCCACTCCTCTTGAGGAAAAGATGACAATATTTAAGGCAAAAAAAAACCTGTATGCAAGTGGCATTTGTTTGAAATGTGTCCTCTTCAGAATGATCTGGTTATCGTGGCCGTGCAGGCCCTGGAAGGGAATCAGATGGAGCCCCTTATCGTGCCCCGAGCAATGAGGAAGTTTGCATGTTTGCTATCTGGCAGTTCAAGAAAGTGTAAATGTGCACCTTTGCCCAGCACAGTCCTGGATGAGGCAACATGCAGCAGTAGTCTTTATCCAGCACCTCAGCTGGGTGGAGCTCTCCTGATGTACAAGCCCAGCAGTGTGAGGTGAAAACACCTTTCTGCTCAAATAAACTTGGTTCCACTAGGAAAGCAGGAGTCAAATAAAAGTTACTATATTAGCTAAAAACCTTTAATTTTCCCTGAAATCAATGAGGGCTCGTGGGGTTCAGCCCTTTGTGGACAAAGGCCTTCTTTCTTTCTTCTTCCTGAAGATGAGCTATAGCTGTTACTATTTAGCTGTGCCTGTTACTGAGCTATTAATGGCATTAACTGTTTGACTTAGCTGCAAACCAGTCCTTAGCCCCAGGAACACTGATGTTCGTGCTACAAAGGCTGGCTGTAGGAGCAGAACTGCTACTGGCCTGTCTCCTCTGGCAGCATTAGCAGCTGTGCAATGTTTTTCAAGTAAAGACAGATGATTCTGTCAGCTCGAGTGGGTTTTCATACCATTTGCAAGACCTATCTAATTTCTCTGTTCAGTGGCAACAGGATAACAAACCGTCTTTGTTCACAGCTTTCCCAAGACACGTGCTGGCACAGAAGAGGTGCCACTGGCACGCTGCAGACCAGAAATGGCTACACTTTGGTGGCTATGAAGTTGTTCTGCTGCAGAGTGTTTGCAAAATAAGATGAGATCTTGTGCAGGCAAGAAGTGATAAATATGTGCAAATATTTAATGTTGCATTCTTCAGGCTGGGAGCGCCATTTGGGCCAGCCTTGTGAGGGCAACATCTCTTGGGAATTTCACTTCCTCTCGTAATCTGTTGTCAATGTGACATGGCAGATGAGAGTTCAGCCTTGGAAACTGCGAGTTGTTTCCTTCTATTCCTATTTGACATACATTTTTGCTCAAACTTGTGAACTGTTCCCATCATTTCGGGGAGCAGTACAGATGCACTCATTTAACACTTCTTTCTCTTTCTGGAAGCGAGTCCAGTTGTACCAAACACTGAACCAGGGAAACCCGTCATTTCTCATCCAGAAGGAATGTATGTAAATTTATCATCTTAATTGATGCCTCTCCATGAGGTTCATATAATCAGCCCTTGTAGCTTAACATGCTAATGAACAGGGTAAGTAGAAATCTAATATATTAAAGGAATGCAGACCAATTTGTCTGAGCCCTGCTGAGACCTGCAGTGTAAGTTTTGCAAAGATTTACTCATCTCTCTCCCCTCTTTAACTTAGCTGCCTTTTACTCCTCTCTCTGTTGATCCTCTGCAAGTGGAGTGATTCTCCCAAGTGCACAGAAGCCTCCTTGAGGATGTGCAGTGGGGTCAGGAGGATGTTTGGAGGAGGCAGTGGTGATGGTAAATTCCCTTTCCCTCTGGCACACACACAGATCTGCATGAGACCACACACTGCCAGGAACACCACGAGAGCTCTGCGTCCTCACATCCTGGCACAGAGCAGCAGTGCCTGGTGAAAAGTGTGGGATCCAGCAGGAGATCTGCTGGCAGTGGGAGCAGGGAGCAGTGCTGGGCAGGTAGGCAGCTGTCCCAGGCAGCTGAGCTCCTGTGGTGGAGCCCCTCTGAGATGCCTGGCTGCAGTTTGCACCCAGGTCTCTCCAGGTCTGTCAAATCCTTGCTTCCTCAGCTTTCCTGGAAATCATTACATGCACAGCTTCAGTCTGTTTGCCAGTTACCCTGTATTTTCAGGGTCTGGGATCATCTAGCTAGCGCTGTGAGGTCGAAACAGACTGAATCCTCTTCCTCCTTAAAGGAGCCAGTGGGATAAATGCTGCCACAGGCTGTTTGCACGGCGTGTGCATAGCATCCCTCTCCCCTATCTCTTGCCAGCCCCATTCATCTTCCCTGGAAGCTGGTCTGAGCAGGCACTGCAATGTGCAGTGCCCAGGACAGCAGCAGCCCTTTTCAAATGGCTCCTTAGTGCTGCCATAATAAGCCTGATAAATAAAACATGGCTTGCAGACACGGATTTACTGGAGAGGGCTAAGGGGGCTGTAGCTCCCTCATTAGTATCTCCCGGTGCAGCATGTGTGCTCCTCATTATGTGGCACAGTGGCGGTTGTCTAGTCATCCATGATGAGGCTGCAGCCACTCCAAGGATGCACCACGGATCCCAGGGATTCTTTTTTTTTTTTTTTTTTTTTTTTTCCCTCCTGTGTTAATAATAGGAATTTAGAAGAAAAAAAAAAAAGAGCTTGAATATGAAGAGGATGAAGGGGAAAAGATTGCAACTGCGTCTGATTTTTTCTCCCTTGTGTCTCTGTAAGTCAGCAGCAAACGCAGAGAAATCTGTATAGCTGTGCTAATATGGAACTGGCATGAGCAGGATTGAGACCTCTGTACTGCACAAACTCCTATTTTGGGGAGCTTTGTTTCTGTTAATTTAAAATGCTGCTCATAAACTTGCGGCCCAAGTATAAACTTTATCCTCTCCCTCACCATTTTTGTCTTCTGTTCAAGGGAAAGGATCCAATTTGGCTGATTTCGAGTCCCTCAGAGTTGGGGACTCAGGAATCTGTGTTAATCTGAGCATGTTGTGGAGGTTTGATCCAGCTTTTCTTTCTGGCCATCGCTTAAATCCCTCCTACCTCCTGCATACAAGTTGCAACTGCATCATCTTAGTAACCCTGTGACCAAGAGGCATGAGAGTCTCCTCTGAGACTGTAATCTCACTCTAAACAGCTCTCTGGCGGGTGCTCGTGAGTGGTGATACATCATGCAATTTTCTCCTTTGGAGGTTTGCGGTGTCATCTCCACTGTGATCCCTGCCCTGCCTGGCCAGTGCCGGCGATCCAGAGACCAGGGATTGCCTGGGAGTGTGCTCCTGGCACAGCTCTGCGTGGCTGGGGCATGCCTGGGGTCATGAACAGTGACAGCAACATCTGCCCCTTCCTCTTTGCCTCTCGGCCACGCTCTGGCAGGAAAGAAACCTGTTTAGGATGGCAGGAGACTTTACTGGTGTAGCAAAGTAATCCTCAATAAGCTCAGGACTTTTCTGTAATGGTATTTAATATGCAGATAGTCAAACGAATGCCACTGTGATATATTTTTATGGACAAATATTATATATTAAGCCCTGATTTATACGTTTGAGCGTAATACCTGGGGCTCTGAGGAGAGCCTTTAATCTCTGTCAGCGAGGCAGCACGCATGCTAAAGCGCCGAGTAAATCTGCACGGGAGTGCTGAACTGAGCGCAGCATATATCAGAGTTCTTCCGCCTGATAAAATTAAATACACGAGACCCCCTTTCTGTGACATTACCGGGCTGATACACCGGGGCTGACGGCAGGAAATACCCATCTGCTTCCCGCTCTGACCCAAACCGCGCCATTCCTGCGGCATCCTAGGGGTGCCATCTCAAGGTCCCAGAAGATGTTCCTGGATGGAGGAAGGTCTCTGTCCCTGGGGTTCCCCTCCTTCCATCACCTCGCTCCCGTGTGACCGCCCGGGTGCAGCTGAGCGGGTGCCGGTGCCCTATTTCCCCTTCATCAGGCGAGCATCGTCTCAGCATGGGGCTCTGCATTTAATAATCTCAGCAGCTCAACTGTTTATCTGAATCTCCCTCCTGAACTGATAAATCTAAATTGCACATTTTCCAACCCGCTGTAGCTGAGGGGGAGATCTCGCAGGTATCCT